ATACATGATTTCTTGATACAACAGTGATAAAAACAACAGATATTTCTGTTGTTCATCAAGATGCCTTTGTGTGATGAACAAAAGTGCTTAAAAAGACACCTCCCAATTCACTTCAGCCCACTGCCTCATTAAACACACCTGATTCAGCTCATCAGCGAATTAGCAAAGCCTTCACGAACTGAATTCAGAGCATTAGATGAGGATAAAAACTGATGTTTGGCCTGGAAGTTCCCCAGTTTGATATGCCTGCTCTACAGAGAACAAACTTAAATATCCATTTTCCTGCTAATTTTAGTGCACAGTTTTTATTTCCTTAGTTTAACATATTGGGAAAAAGCATAAAATATAAAATGTGCTATAATTTTTGCACAGGGTTTTTTTCCAGTGCGTTAAATTCAGCAAATAAACAGAAATTGTGGATTAAAATGTGCAGAATTGTGTTCTCTGTAGAGGATTTGTTAACTTATTTACACTTAGAAAGTGAACAAAACGTCATTTGACCAGGGGTACCCAAATTTTTGCATATGACTGTATGCACTAAATATCTCTGTGCAAAATACATACATTGCTTTTCTTAGCAAAGAAAGAGATCCAGTGGGTGACAAAGCATCACGGCCACCTCAGATCTAACACTCAGACTCAAACTGAAAGCAACAACAACACAGAATGTGATCGGTTTTAAGAAGGCAAGTTGAAAGTATGTACTACTACGTTCTAGATTTTGCTACACACTGACCAGCCACTTCATTAAATACATCTCATTGTCCATTTTACCAGCTCCACTTACTATATAGGAGCACTTTGTAGTTCTACAATTACAGACTGTAGTCCATGCATCCCTTTTACCCTGTTTTTTAGTGGTCAGGACCCCCGCAGGACCACCACAGAGCAGATATTATTTGTGTGGTGAATCATTCTCAGCACTGCAGTGTCTGATCCACTCGTGCAACACACACTAACACACCACCACCACCACATCAGTGTCACTGCAGTGCTGAGAATGACCCACCACCCAAATAATACCTGCTCTGTGGGGGTCCTGTGGGGGTCCTGACCACTGAAGAACAGAGTAACAGTGTATGCAGAGAAACAGATGGACTACAGTCTGTAACTGTAGAACTACAAAGTGCACCTATATAGTAAGTGGAGCTGAAAAAATGGACAAAGAGTGTAGAAACAAGGAGATGGACTTGACAATGCACTGCAGTACGCTCATAATGCTAAACAGCAGCTGGTGCAGTTCTGCTGCAATATTTGCAATATTTGGTGTTATTTTCACACACACTTCAAAGCCTCTTCAACTGCTTAATGTCATGTATTGTTTTTTAAATGCACTGCTGCTGGTGAAAGCCTTGTCATGGAGAGCTGCACAAGAAGAGGTGACCTACTTTAATATCATAGTTTTAGCTGATAGGTGGTGATTCCCCTGCTTAGGCATGACTATTCAAGTCTGTGGAGCCACGCTGCACTGGATATTTTGGGTGTTTTCCCTGCTCTGACGTTAATTGATTTCCTAATACCTGCTTCCTAAAACGCTCTCACTGACATCCAGGCCTATAAGAAAGTATGAAGCATGTGTATGTTCAGCCCAAGAAACAAAAGAGCTAAACATTAGCTAATAGTGCTGGCTAGCTAGCTAAGAACACTGGAAAATTTCTCTTGAAACTGTTGGTAGGCCTACAGTCAGGGTTCGAATTGTGGTGTAGGGTCTTGAGGGGGTTTCCTGGTGAAAGTTCAGACTATGTATTGAAGAATACTATTTTCACAATCTCAACTTCACAAGATTTCTGACAAGTGTTACTAGGCAGAAGTCTTTTAACTTTATAACTGTATTGATACAAATGGCAAGTGGTTAAGAAAAGCTGACCTTTTCTCAGTTACTTAATTAAAATACTTCATAATTTCCTACAGGCATTCCAGAGAACTTCCGCTATAACACTGGAAAACATTATTCTTTAGATAAGGCCTGTGCACGTGGCTTTGGAAGTCACTGACTTACACACGTTTAGCAGTCTGATGTTTGGAGCCAAGTGAAAAGAAGCTAACACTTCCTTTACAGCAAATATGTACATTTAGATTTATTACATTTAGATTTATTATATGTACATTTAGATTTATTAGATTTAGATTTATTGTATGTACATTTAGATTTATTAGATTTAGAGGTATAGAAATGTATCGCAAATTTGTAATATTGCAATGCAACACTGTGACAATGTGCATCCTGGAGGTGTGACAATGCTTAATTAGGCCATCTAATGCAACTGCATTGTTTAAACACCAGCGTTTGCAAACATTCAGTATAAATCAGCAGCTCCCTCCAGCACTTCTTCTGCCTCCCAGCTCTAGTGCCGTTAATAAGCTGTGCAACAACATCATTACAGTCATCATTTTCCTTCATTCAAATTTTGTTTAAAATAATAATATCATAATAACCGTAAATATCAAATCATGGACCCAGCATCCTGAATCTAATCAAATCTGAGATGAGCTGGACTGAGTGGCATAATATTTGTTATTTCTTTGACTGGTGACTACAGTTATAGTTAAGTTGGCTCAAAAAAAAAGCCAACTTACGGTTCCTCAAAATCTTCTTATTATTATTCTATGCTCAAAAAAGTAAATGCTACTCTTCCCAAAGTTTTGAGCAAGAACCACAAAACAGTGCAGGATCGTAGGACCTATACCTGATTAGGTTGCTTGTGCTTTTCTAAGCAATCCCATGTACGTGGTTTTCATAAAATTATCGCTCAAAGATAATATTTTTTCCCATAGGAAATGAATGTCCAGAATGTTTGGGACATTTAAATCAGCTGCCACAACTATCTCTAACACACACACTCACACACAGTACACACAGACTCACACGCTCACAGCCCAATGCACAGCAGTATCAGCACAAATAATGAATTTAAGGTGGAACTGCTTTTAAGGTGGCACTGAATTTAAGGTGGAACTGCATGTAAGTTTGTACTGAATTTAAGGTGGCACAGAATCCAAGGTGGTATTTCAATTAACATAGAACTAAATTTAAGGTGGCACAGGATTTAAGGTGGAGCTCTCTTTAAGGTAGCACGAAAATTAAGGTGGCGCAGAATTTAAGGTGGAACTGCAATTAACATAGCACTAAATTTAAGGTGGCACAGAATTTAAGGTTGAACTTCATTTAAGGTAGCACCAAAATTAAGGTGGCACTGAATTTAAGGTGGAACTGCAATTAACATAGCACTTACTGCAGCATCCGCTTAGCAACATTTTAACAACCACCAACAGTCTTCCACCATTTTAACGTTTCAAGTCAACTTCGTTCACAAGCCTTCCCTTTCTAGTTGTAGTTATAGCTGAATGAGCAGCAAACGTAAGACTCTAAAACCGGAGGCATATTAAAATGTATACATCATAATCCCAACATTATAGACAGGTGTCCAATCACAGACTGTAGACCATCTGTTTCTGCTATCAGCCTCCCTCTCCCTATTCATCATTGGTCAGTTTTTCATTTATGTCTATATGGGCTATTGGGAAATATCTGTTTTAGTGGGCTAGGCTGTTGTGAGGGCAGCACTACATTTTTTTTTTTCCTTTGCTGTATTGGTGACAAAGAGAACTCTCTCTCCAGCATTGTGCATTTGATAAATAGGCACCAGTCTAAATAGTAAATGGCTCAAGCATAAACCTACCAATCCCTAAAAAGCTTACCACTTTTTAATACTGAGCAAACTGGAATTTCCCACTGCAGCACATTAGCTGCGTAAAACATGCTTGAGACATGTTTTTCTTCTGGTGATGTTTTTTTTCTCTTTCTTTTTTTCCCTTAGCTGAACTTAGGCTAGAAGTCTAGGACTTTACTGTAACCTGGGGGCTATTGTGATTGCTTTAATCACAGGTTGCAGCACAGGGGACGTCCCTTAGGCACCCTGGCATTGATACAGGTTAAAAGGTTTCTTTTTAAACCGCCAACTCATGCTGAGGTTTAACCAGCCTTCTGTTACTTGCAACTGGGTGTCATTTGCTTATGCAACAATGCATTGTACATAGTTCAAGACTATTCTGTAGTACCACCTACATTCATAAATGATACTGAGAATTTACAAATGCTATTGCATAGTAAAAGTGGCCCACTGATGACTTCACATTCCTCTTCAACATCATAGGATGCTAACAGGCAACATTAACTGTCACTGTTAGCCATGCAAGCTAACAGTGTTTGAAGCACTTATTTAACAAGGTGAAACCAGATCATAAACCTTTTAGACTTTATTAATGTATATATAAGAAAAGAGAAGGTCAATAAAATACAGAAAGCAATAGAAATTACATTTGCAAAGGCAGATTAGTGGCATTTAAACATCACTGTAGAGGAAGTTATGAATACAAACAGGTCACATGGTCACTGTCACATTAAAACCTCAAAAACATTCATAATCTCATTAGTTTAAAACAATTTAAAGTAAATTTTGACCATTTATTTTGATGCATTTGTCATGACCTGTTTGTAGAATGCTAAGGCCAGCTGGTGATATTAAGGTGATATTAATTATATAACACTCAATATAAATATGGCCTCAATGTGGCTTGCTATAATTGCTGAAGTGTAACTAAAACGAAGCGTATTGTAAACTTAGCTTTACACATTTTTAACCTTGCTTCATAGAGTCATGCTAACCCCCCAAACCAACAGCATAAAGGCAAAATGAACTGACTTCATTTACACACATTATATACATACATATATACATATGCGCACAGAGTCGTATGCAAAAGTGTACATGTTTTGTGAAAACAACTTAAAGTGAAAATAACTTAATGCATCCCCTGTAGGGAACTTAATTAATAAATAAAGTAATGAAACAACCAATATTAAATGTACCATAACTTATGCACAGGCCATATTTTGGGTTTTTTTTCTCCAATATGTTAAATCTAGTAAATAAACAGTAAATGTGCATTAAGGTTTCAGAAATGTGCAAAAATGTGCAGAAGTATAAACAGAAGTGTGCATTTATATATGCTCACTATGTTGGGCCTATATGTATTTTAATATTCTTTACGTTTTAGAGTCTTGCATTTGCTACTTATTCAAACTGTAGGTATTACTTTCAGCTACACCAAAGTTTTTATATAGGCCCAATGCATAGTTGTACACTAAGACTTGAGCTAATCTGTTTCTGTTTCTGCTAAAAGCTCGCTTCTACCCCACTCATCGTTGGTCCATTTTTGACCACATGACCCCTGTTTACATAGTATTTGGGTTGTGGATCATTCTCCGATCAACAGTGACACTGACATGGTATGTAACTGTACACTAGCAAGGTGGAGCTACTAACAGGTGGAGGGGTTTCTAATAAAGTGTATAGTCAGTATATTATATATACAGCATTGAACAGGAATGCAGGAGTGAGAGAGAGAGTGGCAGTGATAGTGAATCCATTCCAGCAGACACATCTTCATGCTTAAAAAACAAATAAGAAAAGGAAAAAGAATAATTTTTAACCCTTTTCTATGAATGCCTTTCATGCATTAACTAAATGCTTGTTTTATTTACATTATATATATTTTGTTAAGTAGAAAATAGGGGACACCCCCCATATAAAAAATGACCATTTACCATAAAGCTAATTCATTTGTCTGTATATGAATTTATCATGTACAGGATGATGATGCAAAAAGCACCATACAATTAAGGCAAATAAACTGAAAGAGGAACTCAGAACACAAGATAGAAAGTCTAGTAAAAGGACATCTTGAAGCACTATCAGGGCAACATGCCCCCCTATGTGGGGTAAGAAGCCCACCTTATGTAAAAAAAAAAAAGTGAAATCATTTCTAGTTGTTGGCTTTTTCAGAAATTCTTAATAATCAAAGTTTAACATTAAAAATATTATATAGGAAAATATAAATTTTTACCTTAAAATGATAATTATATTATAAAACATATGAAATTAAAATGACAGTTTAATAAGCTCTGATAAGATAATAAAATAGAAAAATCTGAAATGTTAATATTGTTTCTAAATTTAATAGCTGTTAAAGCTGATATAGTATTTATATAATGATATTATAATTACTGTTGTTGTTTCTGTAACAATATCAACTGAAATTATTAAACATTTAACTGGGGAGTATAAATGATTGTTGCATGTGACAAAACAGATTTAATGTGTGTTTGTATTTAATGTGTGCTTGTATGTGGTAATTCACATACAAACTACAGTGAATTTAAAGCTCCAGTAAGATCATGTATTTTAAAAAACTTTTCTTTTACAGCTTAATATAATCAAAAGAATAAGGTGCACAACAATTATTTGGGAAAGATACTTACCTTTGTTTCCTGTACAGACGCCTGGCTGTAAAGACATAACACAGCGACATCATAAACTGAATAAACAGCCTCTGCCTCAACTACCAAAATAATACACAGCAAACTACTGGATCATTTTTCATGTTACACATCTACGATCTCGATTTTACAACATGCATAAAATTAATGTTGACATTTGATCTGGGATAGAAAGATCAGTATCATTCTGCTTTTAGAAGCAATGAAAATTCAAAGCTTTAAGTTTCATTTGTGTTTGAAAGTAGAAGAGAAAATGTTTTATTATTATTTGGGTTTGGTGAAAGGTTATTGTTGTGTGTACACTTTTGCTTTGTGAGAGGAAAAAAACATCCTCTACATTTCTACCAAGATTTTGTCATTGTTTGACATCAGTGTAACCTGATAAAGAAGGTAAATCTAACGTGGAATTCATTATGCAACATTATGTCAAGCAAAATACCATGACAAAAACAATTCCAATGTCATTATCGACACTGGAGGAAAACAATACAACTTAGTGATGCACTGAAATGAGAATTCTTAACTGAAACCAATAAACTCAACCAAAACCCAAAACCCAAAACCAAAAGAAAAGGTTCTTTTACATATAATGCACAGGTTTATTTATGCTTCTAATAAATGTATTCATGCTGACACTGTTTCAATTGTGATAATCAGCATGTTGGAAGAAGAAGTGAGAGAACTAGAAGACCAATTTAACTTTAAACAGCTTGCTAATTAATATTAAACATTAAAAGTTGTAAAATTATAAACATATATGTAACACTTCATGTTTTCCTAAAGGCATCGAAAGCTGAATTCCAGAGCGCCTCTGCTATGATAACATGAAACATTTTTTTTTTACTATTTTATTTACTTTCTTATACTATAATTGACTCTACAGGTCATCTGAGTTTTTAATGTTATGTTTAGAATTTGAAAATAGTGCTAATAATGGCAACAAATACGTTTTCTTTGGGGACTATTTTGCCTTAAACGGCCATGCATGTACCTCTCCACCAGTAATGGATTTTGAAAAAACCTTTATAGGCCAAAACCTTCTCTAAAAAGTAGCATAATGTCTCAGACATCACGCAATGTAATCATAACCAGTTCATGTTGTAACTTTCTGTGAGGGAGCTTTTAGAGGCATTAAGCACTTCAGAAGTCTGGTTCCTATCACCACCACTGTGAACAGTTCTGACTGCGTAAGTTTCTCTAGAATGGAGCATCTCACATCAGACCACTCTGAGTGACTTTGTTAACATCTTAAACATTTCATTTTGCAGAAATTTAAAAACATCAGTGGAATTTTTCTTTCTGGAGTGGACAGTGTTTGTTTTTCAGTGTTGATTTGTTGCTGCTCAAACCATTTGAACACATTTGTGCTGACTGGTACTGGAGAGCAAAGAAAACTCATAGTACTTTTAATCACTATTTGTCACTTTCATTACTATTCAAATGATCTGTTAAGTGTTAGATAAAGGTGCCTTGCTTGACCAATTTTAGCTGCAAACTTTCAGTGGCTGAAATTTCAGACCACCCCTAATAAAATTACACCTTTTCTACTTACATTTTTGCATCTCTAGCCTCTTGCCAGAGTGCCCCCAATCACGACCACCACAGCCAGAAACACTGCCAGGGGAACCAACACAAGCAACCGACGTCTATGGTTAGCTGTCAAAGCATGCAAAAAAAACAAAAAACAGCTAAGTTGTCTAGATTAATGTAATTTCATGCAAGCTGCATCTTGCAAATTGCTAAGCTACTTAATGAATTGTTGAGTCAAATTATAATTGTACAATTATACTCTACTTATGCGCTCCATCGTTTGGCTGTGAAATGTGTTCAGGGCTGGTTTCTTTGATAACTACAGAAAAAACAAATAATTAATAATAATTTTGCAAGACTAGAAATACCTACTTATGAAAAAACAACGTTTCTCAACCCTGAACTGTGTATCAAAGAAAATGAAAGTGTTCAAAAGAAACAGAAGGACGACACTTACTTCTGTAACAGGATGTAACTGTATAATACTGAAACAGAAACATATAAGGTGCAGTTATGCATCACTGATACAGGCTGATTAGTACTCTGCGTACAAAAGTAAACAAATAGATGGCAAAAAGCAGAAACGTTTAAGCAATAGAACACAAGAGGGAGTGTGTTGTCGCGAAACAACATCACGGCTGTGATTTGGTCGCATGATGTTATCAGCGATAACACACGACCTCGAGTGTTCTATTGCTTTTATACATCAGTTAAATAAATGAAGTAATAAATTAATAAACTGGGTCGTGAACGCGGCGTTTAATATGTTTTAATGTTCACAGTTCCTTCACCAAATTATAGTTCCTTAACAAGCAGCTTGTTGCTACGTCAGAGTAACGAACTCCGCCCACTCGCTGCACCGTCTGCTGTAAGCCTCGCCTTCTGTAGTACAGACTGAGCCATAAAACTGCTACAATATCAAGTTTAGCTCAGTTTTGTCAATTTTTGCTGGATCAATATTAATGTTGTTTTGTTCCAGCCAGTCTGTAAAGCAGCTTACAGCCCATTTTGTTTAGTGAATGGTCTTCGGTTTATTTCTGGCTGATTCCAGGTTGTTTAGCTGTTCTTCTGTCACAGCTGCCGACTGAAAAGCTGCTCAGTGGTGATGACAGTTTGGGAATTTAGTGTGGTCTCATCTTCAGAGTCTGACCAAATCGGCTGTCGGTCAAATGTGATCTTAAAAGTACCCATTTTCTGTTTGTGGCAAAGTAAGAAGTAAAACCGTTCAAATGGCTTGAGTGTCTCCTACAGCTGTCAAAGTCGTTGCTTAGCAACAGCGCCTCAGCGGAGTGATACAGTGTTTGTGAAAAACCTGTGATGTTATGGTGAAATAACAGCACAGTTAGAACGCTTCTCAACCAATCAGCTTGCGTGGCCGGAACTAACTGTTGTATAATTAGAGAGAAAGCACATATATTAATGGTAGGTGAAAATATATTACTATGATACTTAAAGAACTTTTCACAGTTTCTATCATGATATTCATTTTTCTTTCAGGGGTTTAATGAGCTACAACCAGCAAACCAGTAGTGCCGCACTTAAAAACGTTTTAAGTGCAGCACTACTAATAATAGTTTCTGATGAGATGATTTAGGCTATAAAAACCTCCTATCTATACTTTTAATACTGGTAATATTTCCTGATAAGGTGATTTGGGCTATAAAAACCTCCTATCTATACTTTTAATACTGGTAATATTTCCTGATAAGGTGATTTAGGCTATAAAAACCTCCTATCTATACTTTTAATACTGGTAATATTTCCTGATAAGGTGATTTGGGCTATAAAAACCTCCTATCTATACTTTTAATACTAGTCATTTTTCTGATAAGATGATTTAGGCTATAAAACCCTCCTATCCATATTTTTAGTACTGGTAATATTGTCTGATAAGGTGGTTTGGGCTATAAAAACCTCCTATCTATACTTTTAATACTGGTAATATTTCCTGATAAGGTGATTTAAGGCCATCAAAACCTCCTACCTATACTTTTAATACTGGTAATATTTCCTGATAAGGTGATTTAAGGCCATCGAAACCTCCTGTCTATACTTTTAATACTGGTAATATTTCCTGGTAAGGTGATTTAAGCTATAAAAACCTCCTACCTATACTTTTAATACTGGTAATATTTCCTGGTAAGGTGATTTAAGCTATAAAAACCTCCTACCTATACTTTTAATACTGGTAATATTTCCTGGTAAGGTGATTTAGGCTATAAAAACCTCCTACCTATACTTTTAATACTGGTAATATTTCCTGATAAGGTGATTTAAGGCCATCAAAACCTCCTATCTATACTTTTAATACTGGTAATATTTCCTGATAAGGTGATTTAAGGCCATCAAAACCTCCTATCTATACTTTTAATACTGGTAATATTTCCTGATAAGGTGATTTAAGGCCATCAAAACCTCGTACCTACAGTTTTAATACTGAACAGGTTATCAAAAATATCCTACCTATAGTTTTAGGTGGGGATCTACTCGTAAATATACAGTAGGGCATTTCGACAAGGCAGCACAGGTCTTCACAACTGCACTGTATGTCTGAACAAGACATAAAACAAAACCCCACAGCCCGAACGGATCTGTGAAGAAATGGTGAAGTTTTGACTCATAAACCACAAGTCGCCTAAATTCCGTCCCACAGCGCACTGACAGCCTCTCCAACTCCACTTACAGCTGCGAATAACTCACAGTCGACCTGCAGCGTCGGACCAGTTCACTGTTTCCTTTTTAACCCTTTAATGTTCTGCTCAACCATTTGGTAGAGCACATTTTGAGTCACCATACATGCCACAAAGCGCCATCTCAACCGTTTGGTAGACGTGAATATTTTAAAAAATTGTGGGGTCAAAAAACGAAAATAAAAAACACCAAGGGTTTCTATTATTATCCAAACAAATAAAAAATACAAAAAAATAAAACTCCATTGCTTTTTTCTTGGTGAGGACATTAAAGGATTAAGCTAAAGGCTTCCCCGTTCACTCGCGCGCTCAGTCCCAATAGGCAGTCAATAACATGCTTCAGTCACAACTTTTTACAGTATTTCCAGGTAAAGGTGAGTCAGGCGACATGTATTCATCGCTTCGTGTGCACCAAAACTAATATTCGACGGACATCCACGACGAAACATGAAAACATCCCATAAAGACGGAAATACAAGCATGCGTGCGCGCGAGAACACCGGCTGGCGTGCACGTCAGAACAAGGCGCAGCGACGCAGACGTTCCTCGCGAGCCACTGGAGGAGCGCCTCCTTTCAAAAGTCGGTTTAGCGAAACAGAGCTCGCGCTTTCACGAGGGGACCTGAGGCGTTCAGCTTCAGAAGACCAGCCGCTCTCTGCCCCTCAGTTAACCTCGGCGAACAGCCTAAAACGGGCTCGACCTTCTTTTCTAGCTGTAAACTGGTGAACACTTCGCACCACTTCAGCGGCACGCACGTGCAATAAAAGCCCCTCACTCCGTCACTGTGAGGGGTAAGCGGGACTGTGGTAGACACAACTAACGGTTAAAAACACCGAATACTCACCTTCCACACACACAGCAGCCCAAATACAAGCAAACAAAACAGCCGTTATGTGAGAGAAGCTGAAATTAGCCATCATCTCTCTCCTCAGAAAGTGACGAGACCCCGAGCCGAGTCCTGTTTGATTCAGTTTAATGAGCCGATTCTTTCTTAGCGAAGCGCCCATTTCAACGATTCTAAAGCCCGATCGTTGAAATTCGGTGATTCGTTTCTCTCTAGTTAATTTCGTTCTCAGTTTTGTGTGAGTCTGAAACCCCTTAGTTCATCTCACTAGTAGAGTCAGTACTAAACACAAAGCAGTCCACAGAGAGAAAATGCACGCCATTCAAACAGGGCTTTCTTAGTAGGCTAATATAAGTTACATTATAGTGTGTTATGTTCTATTAAGATTTAATGCTGTCAAATCATTACAAATTATTCGATTTTTTATTCGAACACTTTAGCCTGTAACACCAACATTGCACTGACTGCAAAAAAAGAGTGATTCAGTTAGACTCATGAATCGAATCTTCAGAGTTACGGAAAAGAACCGATTCAAATGGACGACTCGTGCACGCCTGCAAGAGGAGAATTTCGTACAGTGTGGACGATTTATGAAGTGAGGCTGTGGTTGTTGTTTTGTATGACTCTGAGGTTAAACTATCTGTTGTAGGGCTGCTCGATTATGTGAAAAATCATAATCATGATTACTTTGGTCAATATTGACATAATGTTTATTTAACACGGTTACTCATTGACTTGAAACATCATGCATTTATTGAACTTTTAAAAAGCTTGTTTTTAATAGTGGATTTAATCGAGATTTAAATAGGATTCAACTGAAAAACATTTAAAAAATAAAGGAAAGGGGTGCACTGGATCTATAACACAAGACCAAACGAGAGCATCATTATAAAACAAAATATGGCACAATAATAATTTTATCTCGAGTTTCTTTGATTTCATAATCGTTGTAAGCCAAATCAAAAATGAAAAGTGATTAAATGCCCGGCCCTATGTTGTAGGCTATCAATGGGCCAATGAATGACTTATCATTTATTAATGATTAGTTAATTAAACATTGTGAGTCCTTACTGTTATATTTTTTAGGAATATTACATTAGAAATATGAGGAATCATAAAAAGGGATTGTACTGTATCCTCACTTTTAGAAAAACATACAAATTTTACTACTTTAAATATTTTTTAAATAGTTAAATCACACTCTAGGACACAATGACACAAAACAGGCCAGTCCAGATGATACAATAATTCAATGAAAATAGTTTAGTAGGTGCTGGTATTGGTATCAGTGCCATACATTCTTTAATAATACCCAGGATTATTTATTGCCTATTATTTTTGATGCCTTTTTTCTCAGAGACTCTTCCTATTGCCCAGTTCGTATACAACTTCATTATCTCCTCTAATGATCTGTCACTTGGCCCACATGTGGCTTATCATTATACTTTACTTTAAAGGGGCAGTCATGGGCTGGAGGTTAGGGAACCAGCCTTGCGACCAGATGGTTGCCGGTTTGATTCCCTGAGTCAACAAAGGTGCCCTTGAGCGAGATACCTAACCCCGAACTGCTCACCGGGCGCTGCAGATAGGGCTGCCCACCGGTCTGGGCAGGTGTGCTCACTGCCCCCCAGTGTGTGTCTTCACTAGTGTGTATGTGGTGTTTCACTGCACGGATGGGTTAGACTGTGGAGGTGAAATTTCCCCGTTGTGGGAACAATAAGGGTCAATCAATCAAAGCTAATTGAATCATTACAAGCCTTATTTGAGTAACTACAAGCCTCATTTAAGTCATTACAAGCCTTTCCTGATTCAGCCCGAGTTGAAGTTGATTTAGGGGGCTGTTCCTGGTTTCATTCTGGAATCAAATTTGTCTCACCGCTTCAAAATGCTGCGAAAGCATCTGATGTCTGACTCAAAGACCATTCCCAGCCAGGGGCAAAGCCACGGGTAGAC